CGCGCGGGGCTTGGATCCCCTTCACCTCCGTCCACCTGCTCTGTTTTTACATTCAGCATGAGAGGCGCGACATACTCGTCGTGGATATATCCGGCCAGGTTAATTATGACAAGGTGATCGTTCCTTAATCCCTCTACTATTCTAATTTTCCTACTGACTTTTGGCTTCTCCCCTCGTGAGGTTTAAAATTTCTTCCTGAACCGGTACCGCTTCACTCTACCGCGTGAAGGCAGAAGTATCGAGCCCCCTGTGAGCAAATCCGAAAGCGTGCGCAGACATTTTTGTCTGCGCACGCTTTCCAACGCCATGCTTGCACCCGTCGCCTCGTAGTTGATAGAATAGTGATTTGGCGCGATCGGTTTTGGCTAGGCGATCAGGATTGCTGAAATCAGCCCTGGCGTAGCCGTTTTCCGCTAGGTCAGGACACTCGCTCTTGGAGTATACTTGTAATAGCACTATTGTGTTGTCGCCCTCCAAGAGTCCCTCAATAAGTTTGAGGAGCTCCAAATATTAGCTTTAGGAGTCGCCGACGCGTTTCAAGCATTTGCGGCGGTCGTTCAGATCAAGGTGACCGAGCTTGCACCCAAATTCGGTTTGAAGCATGCTCCTTAATTTGACGTAGGGAGCTCGCACCAGAACCAACCATGGCTTCTCACATACTTAAGATACGCTGCTACCAACAGCTCTCCAAGCCAGTTACACAATACAGCTTACTGGCTTCCTCATTTTCAATTTGAGTAGCAAAAATCACTCGCCTCTTCGCTAAAGTACCATGGTTCTTGCCCCATGCCAACATTGACGCCAGCCCAGCTTACCGGGTTCTACTTCCGATCGTACCGTAACGCTAATGACGAGATCGTCTCTGAGTACTTCCGCTGTCGCTGCGGTACGGTTCGGAAGTAGACCCGGCGGAACGGATACTCTAACCTCATGCAGCACGTCCGTCGGGAGCACCCGGACTACAAGGCCGTTATGCTGTCTGCACCTACCGCTGAGACTGGCTCGCTGCTAAGCTACGGTCCGTCGGTCAGTACTCAGCGTTTTCGGCTGGCTCGACTGGATTGTCAAGAACGTCCTCCTGCTCAGCTTCTGCGAGAATCCTGCTGCAAGAAGGTAAGCCATTTATTTTAACTTAGTTTAAATATGTTTTCTAAATATAGTCAAACTAATTTTATGCTACTCAGATGGACCCGATTTGTGTCGAGACACTTCAGCGAGCCATGGAAAGTCTCACTCGGATTGTGGAGCGTCAGAGATGCTTCATCAATTTGGCCTAATTCCGGACGGCTGGAGCCACGCGTCTGAGCATTTCATTGCTGTCTTCGCCTGCTACGAAGTCGACAGCGTCATAAAGATCTCGCTTCCCCTCATGACGCCGCTCCTGAGCGAGCCGGACGAGGATCGCTCGGCGCGCGGGCACTATAAGCTCCTAGCTGGCATGCTGCTCCGCGAGCTCGGTAAGCAGCTGGTGGCTTGTTTATTCCTTGTTGGGGACAACTGCGCCGTCAATCGACTGCTAGCAACGCTAATTAGCGTCCCTACTAATTGGATGTGCTTGCCACCGGCTAAAAGGGCAGTCCAAGTGTGGATATGCAACAGCATGAAAAAGACTTGGTAGAAATTTAAGCCCTAATGGTGCGACTACGGACCCTGAAGCAGGCTGCCAAGCTTAGGTAAAAAAAATCTATGATGGTATATATTTGCTTAGTATTGTAATAACTTCGCAATTTATAATTTTGATATGGCTATAAATGTAGGTTAAAGACGCCACTTCGTCCTGTGATTCGACAGGACACACGCTAGAGCTCAACGTTTTGTATGCTACATCGCTATTTTCAGTCCCTCGAGCACCTCGACCCGACAGATGAATCGCTAGTGGACGTCCTTCCAGTGCCGTCGTGCACCAAGCACCTGCTGTCGCTGCTCAAGGGGCTAAAAAAGGAGGAATCAGTTTCCAAAGCAGTCTAAGGCTCAAGCGCCGCATTGTTGGATGTTCCGGTGTGGTTCGACGGTCTCATTGCCGGAAAGCCGCAGTACGTCACATATCTCGGTAAGCTCTATTTTATTGTATAATCTTGTGGTCAATGTGCATTTCATTAACGATTATTTGGTGTCATGTAGGACCCCGTGCCGACATCGTTCACAGTCGCGACTTCAAGTCGGACTGTGTACGCCTCGGTTGGCAGCCACCGGCTGACAAGGGCGGAGAAGGCGGCGTAGCAGCCCTTCCGCTGCGCGGATGAAAGGGTCCCAAGTGCTACTGAGGATGCTGCCGTCAGCAAAGAAAAGGTTCTTTTGTAGAGTATCTACAAAAGAGACGCCGGCTGGCAGCGGCTCGACCAATGTACAATTTGCTAAGCGTCATTCCGCCCACGCCTAACCTGGTTGAGCGTTTTTTAGCGTTGCATGGACGACGTACGGGCAAGAGCGGCGTAGCCTGCAGCCAATTACTTTGGAAATGGTGCCTTTTCTGCGGAAAAACGGTGGGTACTGGACAGAATAGACCGTCGACGAGGCCACTCGTTAACAATTATCATGAAGTTACTTTGCTTTACATTACGCTCTTATTTGTAACGTACTCTTTGCAGATGTCATAATGTATTGCTGGATACTAGCTGCCCACTACCATTATTTATGCTGAAGGCGGGCTCCCGATAGAAAAACAATTCCATAATCGGGAGCCCTGTTGGTTTGTTTGTCGGTCTTCATACTTTCGATGAGGCAGTACTTCACGGTGACTTCTCCTCGTTTGGTTGTGTCACGAATATATGAAATTTGATGTTCACATGCTTCATTTTGTCAGATGTGATCTCGTTTTCCATACCCTTGATCGCACTTCGATTGTCAATGTGGAGGCAGACCGAATCCGTAGGTGATGTGATCATCAGCCCTTGCAGCAATTGACGAGCCCAGAGGCATTCTTTGACTGCAATGCTGCCTGCGATATACTCGGCCTCAGCTGTTGACAGCGCCACTGTAGCTGACTTTTCGTGTACCAGACGACATGCATTCCACTTATCGTGAGCAGGCCTCCAGGAGCTGACTAGGCTGTTATTCGGTCCCCTGCCCAATCTGCGTCACTGAAGATTGTAGGGTGGATACATGCGCTTTTGTTTGCCGTTTCTTAAGTAAGCAGAACGTGCGTGTTCCGCCGAATAATACGTTTTACTCCCTGCGAGTGCGCGCATGTTGAACGGCTATCAAACCTGGCGAAGAAATTTAATGCTACTGTATTATCGGGATAGATGCACTTACTCAGCCATAAGAAACATTCAATTGTTTCT